AGTACGGTTTTTGTCAATGTATTGTGTACTTGAGTGCCCTTTTTGTATATGTGTTGTGTACATGTTTATTTATAAACGTATGTGTTCCTTTTCTTTCGTACGTGTTTATTTATATATCTGTACTGTAGTGTTTTCGGACGGTACTAGCTCTTACTGCCAATATAGGAGTATTACATATATGGTTAATATATATTTATTAAAAGGCCCTCCTCCTGTTGCCCTCGACTCCATATTATTATGTCCTACCTTTTTTTTAATGTTCGCTTTCCAGTCAGACCATATCTGCAAAACAATAAAGCTATTTAAATTACATGAATTTGGAAATTAGATTAAAACTTTACTTTTTTCCAACCATTCACATCTTTCTGTGGTGGACCTTCTACATTCAATAACATGGCTAGCTCTTTCCACTTCTCTTCGGCATTCCCTCGATCGCCTTTTACAAAATTTTTGGCCAAATCTTGATGAGTTTCCATGAACTGAACAAAAATTAGTTCTTGTTTGGAGTTCTTGTGTTTCCCCCTGAATATTTTTGATATTTAACGTTTATTTACAAAATAAGATGATATATTTCAAAATAATACTTACATTGTTATGCGTATTATTGATACAAAATATTTTAAAATTTCAAACCGCTCTCGTCTACGTTGCCGAATACAAAACAGTAAAATTTTACCGATTTCGTTTTCCAGAACAGGGTGACAAATCGATTTGGCAATGTTCGAAAAAAACAAAAACGGAACGATTTACAGAACCTGTCATACGATTTAAAAACGGAAAATCCGAAAATGTTGATCGAAAACGATTTACAGAACATGCCTGATTGTTTGCTTTCTATGAAAAAGTAATCGACTGCTCGAAACAAAACTTTCTTCTGGAGGTAAAAATATGGAAAAAACGAGTTTCACACGAACATTTTCGAAATGCTCTCGAAGCATTACAAGTAGCTTATAGAACGTCTTTTGAGAATGTTTCTAAGATCTTACGTATATTGGCACTTTTGCCCGTTTCAATAGCCACACCTGAACGAAGCTTTTCATGCCTGAAAAGAATTAAAACCTACTTGAGAAATACAACATGTCAAGAAAGGCTCAACGGTCTAGCATCTATGAATATTCACAAAGATATAAATTTTTCAGTTGACGAAGTTCTAGAAGAATCGTTTTTGAAGACTTGTACCGGAAGACCACCTATAGAAACGAGGAAGATCGTTATGTAGTCTCGCTTCCTTTTAAAGAAGATAAATCGGAACAAGGGCTAGGAAACTCGCGAGACATAGCAAAGGCACAATTCTACCGTAATGAAGCACGTTGAGCAAAAATTTTAATTTCAAAACGGAATATGACAACGTTCTAAAAGAGTATATCGAACTTCAACATATGATAAAGGTTTCACCCCCACCAGATTTGTGCTCGAATATTTCCAACTACTATCTTCCGCACCATGCGGTTGTAAAACCTAAAAGCACCACAACAAAGGTACGCATAGTTTTTAACGCATCCAACCCGTCTTCAAGTGGCAATAGTTTAAACGATATTTTGCATACAGGGCCAGTGCTTCAATCCGACTTAACGTTGTTAGTGCTAAATTGGCGTTTTCCTCGTTATGTTNAATGGCAATAGTTTAAACGATATTTTGCATACAGGGCCAGTGCTTCAATCCGACTTAACGTTGTTAGTGCTAAATTGGCGTTTTCCTCGTTATGTGTTTAATGGCGACCTTCAAAAGATGTACCGCCAAATCTTGGAAAATCCTAAACATACGCCATTCCAACGCATACTCTTTAGATCTTCGTCCAGTAATCCTTTAACAAACTATGAACTTAAAACAGTTACCTTTGGCGTAAACTGTGCGCCTTACTTGGCCATTCGCACTCTTCTTCAGTTAGCCGAAGATGTTACGGAAAGCCTTTCACTAGTTAGCTCTATTCTGCGCCACTGTACTTATGTGGATGATGTTTTGGCCGGCGCGCATGACTACCGTACCGCTATTGATGCTCGAAATCAATTAATATCTGCTCTAAGTTCAGCACGATTTTCTATTCGCAAATGGACTTCAAATTCTCAATAAATATTGAAGGACATTCCTCGTAATAATTTATTAAAAGAAAATTTTNCTCGAAATCAATTAATATCTGCTCTAAGTTCAGCACGATTTTCTATTCGCAAATGGACTTCAAATTCTCAATAAATATTGAAGGACATTCCTCGTAATCATTTATTAAAAGAAAATTTTCTTCAGTTCGACGACACAAGCCTGGCAAAAACACAGGGAGTTCGCTGGAATGCCCATTCTGATTTATTTTATTTCGTAGTTAGTCCATTGCCACAAAAACCTGCATACACAAAACGTGAAGTTCTATCCCACATTTCTAAGCTATTTGATCCAGCAGGATGGTTCGCACCTTGCGTTGTTTTTGCAAAGATTCTAATGCAAGAAATTTGGATTGAAAAAACTGGCTGGGATGATTTCATCTCTGAGAGATGCCTTAGAAAATGGACTACGTTTCTTTACGACTATCCTTTCATTAGCGATATTAAGATACCTAGATGGCTTTCATATACTCCTACCGCCAGTTCTAGGGTAGTTTCATTGCTTTTGCGATGCATCGGAGAAAGCCTATGCGGCGGCTATCTACGTACGAGTAGCGATCGATTCGGAGGTTTCAGTCAATTTGTTAGTCGCAAAAACAAAAGTGGCAAAACACTATCCTTGCCGCGGCTAGAGCTTTGTGGTGCTACGCTTCTAGCTGAGGTAGTCGAAAACTACTACAAAGCTTACGTATTGAAAGCCATGAATTATTCTTTTGGACTGACTCCACAATAGTCTTGGCTTTGTTACGTAAGCCACCTTGCTGTTGGACAACCTTTGTTGCCAATAGGGTGTCAAAAGTTGTTTCGAAGATAGGACACTTAAACTGGTTTCATGTAGATTCGGCGAAAAGCTCTGCTGACCTGGCAACTCGGGGCTTACCTCCACAAGAGCTGGCTGGCAATCCTTTATGGTGACATGGACCGGAATGGCTTAAACGTCCAAAAGAAGAGTGGCCGAATGTATCAAATGGATCAGTTACCGATACAACTCTAGAGCAAAAAACAGTAAAGGTATATAGCACCTGCTTAAAGGACTTCGACGTTATCATTAACCGTTTTTCTGATCTTCCAAGGGCACTGCGGGTAATCGCATATGTATTTAGATTTTTGCATCGTACCCATCCAAAACTCCGCAATAATTTTTCTGAGAGTTCCCGAGATATCACCGCTTCCGAAATTAGCCAAGTCGAACATCGTCTCGTTCGATTATGCCAGCAGACCCATTTCATCGAGGAGTATGAAGGCCTTAAAGAGAAGCATCAAATTTCTAGAAGAAGGCATATCATTTCTCTAAACCAGAGGTGGGCACTCATACTATCACACACATGCGCTTGTGTGCGAAGCAGCGAAGTTTTGCTCAACAGCAAGTACTCGGACTTTACCACATTTGTGGAATTGATAGCACTTTTTTTTGCGCATGAATGAATGGACATTTTCTACAACAAAAAACAACTTCGCTTGCTGCGACGTCGACACATGTATGATAAGATCGTTTTCGTGCGTCTTACGATAATTGACGATTGATTGAAGTTCTGAACACATTGAAAACGACGAGCTACCGACCACAGCTTCCAATTTGTCATCTTTATTATCTAAGCGCTTTGTCGATGGCGACATGATTTCTTTGAACGCGGCAGCGACATCATGAATTTGTATGAGTTTGACATAAAAGAAGAGGAAGAACCTTATCTGTCGCCAGAAAAATAGAAATAGATCTAATCTGGCCACAACCACAGCCGTCGCGTAGCCCGGTCGCCGCCAAAATAATTATCTACATAAGAGTACGTGTTAAAATAATTTGACAGCTGTGGTTTGTAGCTCGTCGTTTTCATTGTGTTCGGGCTATGATGCTTTTCTAGCACTTCGGCAAAGCAAATCAAATTAGTTGCTGCTGAGACTTCACTGCGCAACTATTCGAATAATACACACATAAAATGTTTCGGGAGGAATGGGAAATAAATTTTTTTTTGCATAGAAAACATGGATGGGTGTGCGCAATGCGTGATCTGCTATCGCGTTATGAGTCCAAATTTTATGTCTTGTTTAAAAAGACATTACAAACTGTGTCATAGTCATTTTGAAAAGGTGAAAGAGTGTGATCGAGCACTGAAGCCTTTAGAATTAAAAGCAGCTTTTTTTATTAAATGTATGGTTGGTGAAAGTAATATACATCAACACGACAATTATCAATGTCTATCAGAAAATGATGGATCATTTCTAAAAAAGCATCTTATTCTGTCGCTTTGGCTTTTTATTTAGAATTTCTAGAAAAGTTTTAGGTATGCAGTTTTATAGCCCATTAAAATTTAGTAGCTCAAAGTGCAAATTTCAAGCGCTAGAAAATCGCGTTGATTTTTAATGATTGGCAATTTCTTTTATATGGAAGAAAATACCTAGCACCGTCAGCAAAAAAAAAAGAAAAACATTAATTAAACAAAAATATAAAAAGCCAAAACTGGTCAAAATGTCACTTAACTTAATCAGCTGACCATAAGTGCATATAACATATTTATAAATTTATTTATTTGAATCTACCACATTGTTTTGGAATGTACCACATTTTTTCATGCTTATTTACCACTAAGAAAACTTTCTTCGTCCGAACACTCAACAGCAACTGATTTCATTTGCTTTGCCGAAATACCAGCGAAGCATCAGTCAATCGTCAATTAACGTAACACACACGAAGACGATGATAGTATACATGTGTCGACGTCGCAGCAAGCAGCATTTTGAAGCCCAATTACATGTGTTTGGGAAATAAAAAAATGCCCGCCTCTGCTCTAAACCCTTTTCTTGATAATTCTGGTCTCATGCGAGTTTGCGGACGGTTAATCAATTCACCATTGATGTCGTACGATGAACGACATCCGCTAATCTTGCCACACAATTGCCACCTTTTCAAAGTTGATTGTAAAATTCACGCATCTTATTTCGATTCACGGAGGCAACCAGCTGGTTCTTCGGCTTATACGCATGCGCTTTTGGATACCAAAGGCTAAAAACCTCATCAAAATGGTTATTCAGAATTGCAAGGTGTGTGTAATACATAAGCAAAAACCCTTACACAATTAATGCCCGCTCTTCCACCTGAGCGAACTACACTCTCTCGTCCCGCATTTTTGGCAGCTTTCAGTAGATTTGTATCCAGGCGTGGATGCCCAGCGAATTTATATTCGGATAACGGCAACAACTTTGTGGGCGCTTCAAAGCAATTACTGAGAGACTTTCTTCAATCATCCCGGTCTGAAACAATATCTGCTTATGGGTATCAAGGCCTTTCGTGGCATTTATTCCGCCTGCCGCTCCCCATATGGGTGGCTTATGGGAAGCGGCAGTTAAAAGTTTTAAGTTGCACTTTAACAAAGTTGCAGCCTCCTTTAAGTACACCTTTGAAGAGTTCTCTACCCTTTTGTCCAAAATTGAGGCCTACTTAAATTCCCGCCCCATCTCGCCAATGTCCGAGAACGCATCTGATCTTAGTCCTTTAACCCCAGGCCACTTCCTGGCCGGTGGGCCACTGCTTGCACCACCAGAGAGTGAGATACATGCACAGCCAATTTCTGTATTTAATCGTTGGCAACGCCTTCAAGCCATTAATCAGCATTTTTAAATGGCTTGAAGGCGTTGCCAACGATTAACTACAGAAATTGGCTGTGCATGTATCTCACTCTCTGGTGGTGCAAGCAGTGGCCCACCGGCCAGGAAGGGGCCTGGGGTTAAAGGACTAAGATCAGATGCGTTCTCGGACATTGGCGAGATGGGGCGGGAATTTAAGCAGGCCTCAATTTTGGACAAAAAGGTAGAGACTTCTTCAAAGGTGTACTTAGAGGAGGCTGCAACTTTGTTAAAGTGCAACTTAAAACTTTTAACTGCCGCATCCCATAAGCCACCCATATGGGGAGCGGCAGGCTGAATAAAATGCCACGAAAGGCCTTGATACCCATAAGCAGATATTGTTTCAGACCGGGATGACTGAAGAAAGTCTCTCAGTAATTGCTTTGAAGCGCCCACAAAGTTTTTGCCGTTATCCGAATATAAATTCGCTGGGCATCCACTTCTGGATACAAATCTACTGAAAGCTGCCAAAAATGCGGCCGTGGTTAGTTCGCTCTTTGCCTCCAAATGGATCGCTTTGCAGCCAAAACAAACAAAAACGCACACATACCCTTTCGTAATACGGAAAGAACGCACACTGAAACTCTTCAAGTCAAAGGGGCCTGCGTAAAATAGATACACACATACGCAAATTGAGATCGGAACATTATCCGATTGGAGAATGAAAATTGGCTTTCGGACTTAATGTTCTTTACCGATATGATGGAACGTTTCCAAAACTTGAATCTCTACAAGAGAATAAAAATGTTTTTGATTTGTCGTAAATTATTTTAAGTTTTAGAGCTAAACTAGGTCTTTTTATTCATGATCTCAAAAAAAAAGAATATTTCACAATTTTCCATGGCTAGAAAAAAACATTGCACATGATTTAAAAACAGATTTTGAAAAAAGATTAGCCGATTTGAAGTTATTTAAATGTACGTTTGCATACTTCATAAACCCTTTTTTATGTAACATAATTGAGGATGAATTTACAATATCCGAAAAATTCCTTTTTAAGAAAAGCGAAGAGTTGTAGTTTATGGAATTAAAAGAAGATAAGGCCCTGGAAATGCAACATAAAGCTTTGCCATCAATTTTCCANACCTTTTTTATGTAACATAATTGAGGATGAATTTACAATATCCGAAAAATTCCTTTTTAAGAAAAGCGAAGAGTTGTAGTTTATGGAATTAAAAGAAGATAAGGCCCTGGAAATGCAACATAAAGCTTTGCCATCAATTTTCCATCAATTTTATACTTTTAAATGTAAACAAAATTTCTATCAGCTGTTCGTCTAACTTGCAAGTTTCTGTACATTTTCTGTTCGCCTACTATTTGGAATATTTTCCTCTTGTGAGAGAACAGATGACATTTCGCCGGAATATTGCTGTTGGACATTTTTTACTGGAGATTTTAAACGAACGTATCTATTGACTAACCAACATTTAACAGAACTGTTACGAACGGCTTTAACTGACGCAAAACCAGATTTTGAAAATTTCGCCAAAGGGATCTTTTGAATTTTCTTTAATATCTATCTTACGTACATTAGAACAATAATACAATTTTTTCAGTTCTAATAATAATTTTATTTAAAAATAAATTTTTTTTATATTTTTTGGTTTTTTTGTGGGTCTTTGTAGCATATTTAGATTTTACATGTGGCTCTTTTCGGCCTCGGCCTTCCACCCCTGTAATAATATGCACCAAACCTTTTTGCTGAACCCAGCATTTTTAACAAGAATTGGTCTTAAGCGACTAATGTGCTGTGGGTCACTTGGCGGTCGATGTGCGGGCTTTTACAATTAAAATAAAAGACTAATATTTTGCAGGATTGTTTTAACTTCATGATACAATATATTTTCACTATTACCAAGGGATCTGAAAAAAATTAGATTTTCGCCCCGTCCTAATAAGTACGTATGTTTTTACGTATGTTAAGCTAGCCAATATGCGTTCGTTTAAATATTTATGTTTATGTATTATGTATGTTTAAATAGAACCATATACTACAGCTCTGCATTACATCAGAGTATCACAAAACTTCTTCAAGGGATTACTCCATGGAGTATCAACCTCTCGGCAACACAGCGCAATAAACATCGTGTAGGCATTACGATCATTAAAACTCGAGCAATGATCGGTTAACAATAAGCTGGCGTAGAGACATGAGTTGGGCCGCTACTGCATCACAGAGGAGCATTTTGTAAGTATATACTCCAATATAGCACAAATGGACCACATTGTCCAACGATTTTTGCAGAATGGCCAATAAGCTGATAAAAGTTTGCATTTTATGTGTTCGTTTATGGCTGGAAGTCCCTGGTTCTTCTAAAACTGGCGAAAAAATCAGAAGAAAAGCAGCGGAATCAATACAAAAGCCCAATCTTTCACCACTGGTGGTACCAAGAGATCGCAGGACATCCTCTATAGCATTAGTACCTGATAAAGCGGGACCATTTTCCTCTGGTCTCTGCGTGTAAGATAACGAGGTGATTTGCTGAGATCGTATACGCTCAACAGCTCCTGTACGCCGCATTATCACGAGTAACATCTATTCAGGGCTAGATCTCGTTTCAACAAAAAAAAAAACAACAAATTATATACAATTTTATCATGGTCGGAGAGCACAATTGAGTTGCAAGCTGAATTTCAAAGGCTGCATCTGAATCGACACAGGATCTTCAATTAGACAGAATAGCATCATTGTCGAATTTTCTAATTCTTTCAGAGACGTGGGTGGATAATGAGAAAGGTTTATTCAATTCTAATTTTGATATAGTAATTCAAGTAAAAAGCCCAATAACGAGAGCAGGCGGAGCTGTAATCCACCATAACACACATGGCAGACCTCGTATAGTTCTCCACAAATAGAACTCAATGCACAAACTGGAATTAATGTTTATTCAAATTTGCTTGTAAAATTATTGAATTCATCCACGAGAGTTTAATAAAATATACTGGATGTGCCCTTAACATCTGTATATTTTTTTACCTTTTTTTTCATTTCAAAGTACAATAATTGGAACTTAGTGGGGATAAGATTGACTAATGAGAAAAGTTGGCGTCTGGTGAAGACTGAGAGTAAAAAAAGCAGAAAAAATAATACATACACATTTTTTATTTCTTTTAAATGTTTTGATTCGCCAGTATAAGGATATTAATAAGAAACCAAATATATGCACACGTAAATGGAATAAGAATATGTATGGATGTATGTATTACTTAGAAGAAAACTCAATAAAACGAAGGTCTGCATTTCATATCCATGCACACATACATATGTGTCTATCTATATGCATGTACTTATATAAGTGCATAGTTATTTACTGAACAGTAGCGCAGAATGAGCAAACATTTTGCAGCAATAATCAAATAATAGCTAAGCGTTGGTTTTACTACGACCTTGGAAAGACGAAAAAAAATTACTTGTGAGCCTTTTAGCCTGAAGTATGTATGTAGATACAATCATGATAAAAACATAGTAAGGTAAAACCGTTCTCTCAATTCGTCGGCCATAATTTTGTTTTGAAGTTTGCCAACATTTTAAAATCATATAAAATAGACAGTAAAAAAAGGAATTGTTCAAAGTTGTTTTGCTTGAGATTGAAAATGAGAATGTGTGTAAAATTTTAAAATTAAATTGCTTGCAAAGAATTTGAAAAATTCCTCTCAGCGGTTCTACCTTCCTATTTTTTATCATTTTCAGCTTACAACTTTCAGGGGCATCTGGACGACTTGCAGCAGTATAAAAATCTTGACCTTGATATATTTTGAATTTTTAAAGCAGTAGGTTTCGTAGTTCATAACAATGAAGTTTAAATTTTTAAATTTAGAATTCATACAACTTCCGACTGCGGGATTTCGCTGTAACATTCTACTTTGCGCCTCGGGCTGGTGCTGTTTGAGCTGTAGAACATCTCAATGAAGCTTTCCGCTTTACCTTTTGTACCTAAAACTGCGATATTCGTACGGATTTTGTAACATAACGCGACAAAACCTTCGGATCTCACGAAACCGCACTGTTTTTATCACTTTGACCATGCTAACCCCCGCTCCCTGGTTTTCTCGTAACTGCCAGGCCTTATTTCTACCGATTAAAACCCTGCAAACTGTCGAATAGTGCAATTTTTAATTTTTAGCAATTTTACGTGTACCGGCCGGATCATTTATAAACTCGTGCAATATGGTTTGTCTCGTTTCTAACTCGGTTGCCATTTTTAACTCTACTAGGAATCAAATTCAAATTAAATTTCTTCTACGTCCAACTAAGGTCATGGTCAAATTATGGTATTTGAATTTCAAAATATTGAAATCTTTTTGGGTAAGTTATAAGCTTCCCAAAGTGTCGCAGTTTTGGTGTGTTCACCCTTTAGTAAATCCAACGCTTAGCTATTATTTGATTATTGCTGCAAAATTTTTGCTCGTTCTGCGCTACTGTTCAGTAAATAACTACGCACTTATATAAGTACATGCATATAGATCAGTGACCGCCAAACACTTTCCTGGGAAACGAACTATATTCGGCCTTTCACATGTACACAATCGGCTTCTTACACGTACACAATCCGAACGTCAACAGAAAGAGTAGCAGATCAACAAATTTTATTTAGTTGCATGCAAACAATAGGCGAAGCAGGTTGATGACGTATTTCCGTGCATTACCACCAACACATTCTCATTTTTTATTTCATAACTAATACATTCTCATTTTAAGACTTCTCTTTTTGGCGGACACTGATATAGATACCAGAGTTCGGCAGTGAATAGCTCAGCTTATGAATATGCTCACATGCTCATGAATCACCCCTTTGTTCACTCAAACTTGCTCTCACTAAAAAATGTTACTCTCTCACAATTGCTTGGTTTGCTTGTAAACTTGTGAGCATGAATATCTTTCACAATCGCTGATCGCTTCCACTTGGCTTGGCTTGCTTCTCTTTATGCAATTGTTTGAAAAATTCATTGTATACCGCTAGATGAGTTAAGTGGCTCATAGTTTATTCATGAACACATACACAAATTCAGCGCCTCTGCAGTTTTGCTTTGCGCGCAAGACCGTTTGCTACGTTGAATACGTGCAGGCATGTGGAAAATGATAGGGGATGACATTTGGACCAGCTTTGACTATTTTTCTTTTGTTTGTTTATGGTTTATTAATTAAAAAAAAAAAATATTGCTCATTATCTTACATAAATCATATAGGTCGAAATTTCAAACTATGCAGAAAAATTAAGAAAATTCGATAAAATCTTACTACAAACTTTTTAATAAGAATTTTGAGATAATCGTAGTTTGCATTTTTATGCCCAATTAAATTATAGCTAAGAAAGTAAAAGTCTAATTTGGCTAAGAATTCGCGTTGATTTTTGATAATTTTTTTTTGGGATGGTGTTATTATTATGGGTGAACCCGTCAGCAAAAAAAAAATATGAAAAATCAACGCGAATTCTTAACCAATTGAAATTTGCAGTTCCTTAATATGGAATTTAATGCTGCTGCTGTTGTAAACATTTTCCTGCTTTTCTACAAAGTTTCAAATTTGGACTTATATGGTTTTTGTTAGATAATGGGCTATACCTTTATAAAGATAAATAAAAAATTAACCAATAAAAGAAATATAGCTAAAACTGGTCCTAATTGTTTTTCACATGACTATATCGAGCTCTAACTGTATAGATACCTCCGGCTAAGACTACTAGATTGAGACAAAACTTGCGCTGAATCGTTAAAAATAAAAACTTCGTGAAAAAGTATTTTCTTGTACTTCTGGTATAATATATCTTTTTGAAAACATTTTTTTCGCATTTTTTCAACTGTTTTTAATAGTAGTTTTTATGTTAGAACATTTTTATTTTTTCAAAAAAAGAAAAGTCTGTTTTTTTATATCATTGAACTGACATGTGATTTTGTTTTAATTAATTATACTTGTTAGC